TCACATGTGGGGCCTGATACGGCAGGCATGATCAGAGGCCGCCTACTGAATCAGGCCCCATTCAAAATCTTGCAAGCATCACCACCAGAGGAGGTGGTGGTGCCCATCTTATAACTTTTATCCCAGTTGTTGGAGCAATCACCTGCAATGCGGAAGAGACAGATTCAATTCCCCCTTATCTTCAGAAGGGGGAAGAAGGCCTTGAATAGGGGTCTCCCACAGCTCAGGAGAGTGCTCTAACCACTGAGCTATGGGATAGTCTGCTGTTGGGCTCCCTCAGTCTCTCCTGTTGAAGCTGTTCCATTGTGGATAAATAATGAAAGAGTGATTAAGGAAAGACTGGACCCTTGGTCTCCCACCTCCCACTTGGGTGCCCTAACCACTGAAAGTGATGCTTCCCCGAGGGTACCCAGAGTTGAGACACCTCTTCACGACCTTCCCTTAGCATAAGGAAGCCTTGTCTGTCCCTAGCGGGGGTCAGTTCCCCAACTCCACTAGCCACAGCAACACAAGCACTCCCCTGTAGACCTACGCAGGCCCCACTCTCTACAGGTTAGTGTAAAGCACACTCCAACCTCTGAACATCTTCCTGGAGTGTCCAGTTCTTGTTCTACTGGAAACTCACAGCATTCACAGATCTGCTGCTTTGGGAAAAACAGTAAACCCCAGCTTACCAGTTCCACCTCAGATCACTGCTCCACTTAACACACAGCACTTAGATATGTTTATAGTGAAATCAAGATTCGGTTTATTTAACTAAGCATAGAGATTCAATGTAACAGCAAGTAGAAGTATTGGAAACAAATGGTTATATATAAAATAAAATTATGATATGCATCCTAGAGTCTGGATTTAATTAACAAGAGAATCTCATGTCTAATAAAGTATTGCTCACCACGGCTTTACAGGCAGGCTGGCTGTGATCCTGTTTTCATGAAGCATACCACATTGTCAGCTTGCCTCCTTGATGAGGGATCCAGTGTATCTTTTGGTACCCCTAGATATATCAGAACAATCCTTTGCCCTGATTCATAAACAAGACAACCCCTACTGATTGTTTTTTCCTGTGACTTTCTTCTCTTATGTATTTTGTAATCTCTTGATTAGCATTGGGCTTGGTATGCATTTAGACTTCTATTGTGAAGCAGACAGTATTCCTATGAACAGATAGGGAGAAAAGCATCTGTTACCTCCTGCCTGAAAGGAGCTTATCCGAAGCAAGTCACTTCCTGGTGACCTGCCTTATCTTCAAGACCTCAAGACAGTGGTCCTCAACCTGTGGCCCAATCAGCACACAGCTACGGCCCATGTGACATCCTCAGGACATACAGGTAGTACATATATTGTATGGATGCAGCCCACAATGGTAAATAGGTTGAGAACCACTGCCTTAAGACCATAATTTTCAGTATAGATACATAACTTATTAATGATCATCCGTACATTCATTTCATGATTATGATGACCAGCAGGCTACTGGCTCTCAGTATTGACCGTCCATGCTACCCTGGGTGAACTATTATTCACCCAAAAGGATCCCTGTAAAGCCCTGTGTGCCCGTGTCCTCTGCCAGTTGATATGAAGATGTCCCTGGGTCACAATGGACTACAGAGTCATTCTCAGTCTGGCCCAATGACTATTTAAATATTTGTTCACAGTGGAACAATCATTAGGCCAGAGAATGAGAGAGAGTGAGAATGATTCTAGTCCACTGGTTAAACCTGTGTGGATGTTCTCATTCAGGAGTAAAATGGCCTTAGTTCACTGTAACTTAAATGAGACTACTTTATCCCTGAATAAGAGCATCCACACAGGATTTAATGTACTTTAACTTATGCATGTTGATTTCACACCTGTAGCTGATTTGCCTTAACTTTCCTGAGTGTCCCCACGTACACAAGTCCTGAGATTGTGGCTGACTTTTGTGAAGATAGAGTGGACGTGAGTAGGAGGACTATTGTACTCTTTCCTTTCTCTTGAACACCACTGTAGGGCTACCCACAATCTAACCCTACAATGAGATTGTATCCTAAAACTCATTATTTTTGTAGTGTACATTTCATGTATAGCGTTTATGCCTTTGTTTCTCATTTTATTTATCTCATATTCTTTAATCTGTAGAATGGGTCTTTATTATCTTTGGGAACAGTTTGAATATTGATATAGTGTACCATATTCTGGATGATCACATTACTCACAAATGGCAAACGTGAGTCAGTTATAAGGTCATTACAAACAAGTGTAAATAAATCCTTTATACCGCATCCCATCATAATATATTGCGTATATGATATATTTTACAAAAACCATTTTACAAAAGTATTATTTTAAATATTTGGCTAATTTTCCTATCCCTCCCCTGTAAAGTCAGACTCCTTTAGTACCAGGAATCCAAATCTACAGACCTCTGAGGAAAAGCTAAATTATTTACTAATGAAGTTTTAAAACCTCTAAAAATTACCTAAAATTTCACAGCTATAAATCTGAACTCTCAGAATCATCCAGGTCTAAAAGCAAGTGTTGTGTATTAGAAAGTTGGGAACATTCCATTTCAAATGGAATAAACCTCTGGTTCTAGCCTTGAAGGGCCAAGAGGTATCAGACCACAAACTTGTCAGTGGTCCTGGACAGATATTGCCTATCATGCACCTCAGGCTAGTGTAATATGGAAGTGGAGGGAACTCTATATTTAGCAGGGAAAAGGAGGCATATTTATGTGGTAGACTGAGATTAAGAAGGGGGGGGAAATGCTCAGGGATTTGGACTGTTATAAGTCCAAGAAGAAATTGATTAAATGGGCTGACTGCAGGCAGAGTGGTCAAAAGTGCATGAAAAATACAAGTTATTACATGGATTTCACTTTGACATATATGCCATTAACACAAAAGTTTAGTATATGTTGAAAATGTAAATGGCATTTTATAAGTTAGATATTTATCTATTATCAGTGCCTTTTTTTTTTATTTTGAGAATTCCAAGTGTATAAGTATATAAAAGGTAATTTCTCATCATGCAGTGTATTCTGGTTTACCTCACACCCTGCCCTTACAGAGTTTCATTTGTGAAGTATCCATTTGTGAACTAATTTAAAAGCACACTTAGGGAAAGACAGACACATTTTGCTCTCATTTACACCTATGTATATTTTGAGTTCAGTAGAGTTCCTCTGGATTTACAGACGGATCATAACCTGACCTGCTTTCCTTCCTTCCTAAATTTAATATATTTACTTAAGACTCTTGAGAATATATTTCTCTCAGGAAAGTTATTTTTTTAAAAACAACAAATTAACAGCAGGTCAGACACTCCCTCATGGTTACAATGTTTGGAATTCATCTGGGTGACGCCTAGATTGTCAAATGAAATTTCCTTTAAGACTTTGGTTTTCAGTCTCAACTCTTTGTTATTTATATCTATTTGATATCCATAGAAATGCAGCATTTTTGCCAATAGGTGTATTTGTATTGATACAGAAAAACATCAAGAAACTTTGGCACCAAAAATGGCTACTAGTCCATAGCTGCAGCTACTTCTGGCATTGTTCTCTTGGTTCCCCTGAATCCTTTCTATCCTGTCTCCTCAAACCTGATACCCCACTCTTCTCTCTGCGCTGGCTGGCTTCTACGGTATGAGCTGGTGTTAGCCGACGGCCAAGGATGTTTGGTGAGGTGCCAGCTATGCCCGTTTATACCATCCGTGACTTTAACCGCTAGGACGCACTGTCCCTTCGCGGCGGGCAGCCCGGGCTAGGCTGACGGATGCCCCAAGGTCCTAACCACCCGTGACTTTAACTGCTAGAGCTCAGAGCTCCTTCGCAGCGGGCAGTCAATACTGACTGACAGGTGCCCCAATGGCAGCACTAAGAGCCTCTCCACACCTGTGACTTTAACTGCTAGAGCTCAGAGCTCCTTCGCAGCGGGCAGCCAGGATTGACTGACAGGTGCACCAAGAGTTTGCCCCGTGGAGGCGGCACAACTCAACGCTAGGCTCTTAGTACTCTCACCTAATGGCCAGGCTTTAGAGCCAAAACGGCTGAGGTTCTTTAATTGTGTTGGCTGCTTTACAGTAAACCAGAGAAAACAAGTCAGGCTTATGCACAAATGGTTACCAAAATTTATTAAGCTAGATTCTAATCATGTGGTTACAAAATTGCTAGTGCCTACTTATTTAAATGTAGAGATGTTACACACACAAACAAGTTACAAAACTGAAGCCACAATCCCAAAGAAAGAAAACAAAGTATAGAGCTCTATTTCAAAATATGTGTACACTAAAGGTAGGAGATCAGATGTGGGTGCTTCTTACCCTCCTTGCATCTCTCGATTCCAGCGATGCCAAGCCAGGATCGGTCACTCAATTCCGCGGAAAGACGAATAAGGGACAAGGCGTAGGGACCCTCTTAGCTGCAGAAGCCTTGGGAGGCTGTCACTTATCTGACCAGCAGATAGATAGTGAAAAGCACTCAAAAATCATGGTGCTGTAGGTCCCTTACTTATACCTCTGTACTCCTTTATTCTCTTTCTCCTTTCTTATGCCAAATTGAGGCTGGTCTGTCTGGGTGACGCCAGCTTTCGCAAGAGTAGTTTACACTTGCAAGGGAGAGAAACAATAAGTTTCGACTACTGGACATTTCTTTTATCAGGGTAAATATTTTCCCACCTAGGATGTTGGTGTGTGTGCATCACGCTGTTTAGTAGGGGCTAAGAGCCATGTCTGTCACAGGGCCTCTGCCTGCTGTGAGCTTAATCGTTGTATCTGTTCCCAGAGGCACATTGTAGCAGCACACCTGTGCTTTCACAGCTTCAAAGGCTGTGCTGGAATATATGTTAAGTGCCCTGTTCCGGCTTCCTCCTGTGTTTCCAGCAATGCTGGTCTGAGCCGGGGGGGGGGGGGGGGGGCTGGCTGTCTGGCTACAGCTGGTTGAAGAGAAGGGGGCAGGATGGGGGAAAGAAGTCCTTGTGCAGTGAATATTTCAGCACATAATGACTTCATCACTGTCACATTCTGGGATGCGATCCAGATCAGTGAGGGGTTGTCTCTCTACCTGCCCTGCAATCCTGGGTACCTCACAATGCTTTGTTGTTGTAGCTCCCAATCTGAGCTGCTCACATCATGCAGGTCACACCCTGAATGTCTGTGGATAGCTGCAGCCTCAGTGCAGCAGACCTGACCCCAGCAGCTTTCCAGCTACACACCAGTCACACTCTGGCTTCCACGAGTCTTGGTTATTACTTGCAGGGTGACCTCAACACACTCCCAGTCCTGAATTTTCTCAGAAATGGGTGTTCTGCACTGTCTAGCCCGCTCCTGGACAGTTCAGATATTAAGGTTCATTGCCCCTGTAAGGAAGTAATATTCAAGTTTGTTACTTTGACTGGCGTTACCAAGCAGTTCAGTTTAAACACAGCACTGGATTGGTTTAGATTAAAAATCAAACAAATTTATTAACAAAAGAAGATATTATTTGAAGTGTATAGGAGATAAAGTTAGAAATGGTTAAAAGCAAAAACACACATCTAAAAGTCTAAAACTATACTAGCAAGTTTTGGTTCAAGGTGCTTGTTGAAGATGGCCTGTCTCACTTACCATCTTCCAGCAAGAGGGTGACTGGCCCTTTCCTCAGTAAGGATCTCTCCCAGAGGCAGGAAGGTGCTGGTGCCTTTGTCTTCTTAGGTATAAGAGTAACTTGGGGTTTTCTGCCCCTTTCTTTTATAGTCCAGTGAACCTCTGAAGTGGATTGTTCTGAAGGTTACCCTCTAAAGGAAAGTTAATCCGTGCACTAAGGAAAGTGACATGGAGTCTGGCTGTGAACGAGGCTCCATGCTCTTTCTTCCTCCACTTGTGTTTGCTAAAATTCAAATTGTTTTGTTTCCTGCCATCTTTTCCCCCGGGTGCCTTGAGGATCCTGTTTACTACTTATAGGTAAATTGAGGTAAACACACATTCCTTTGTTTAGGATAGGCCTGTTTAACAACTGTTGTCTAGGCAGGGCTGTTTGGTTTCGAACATGTGCTAATAACAGCATACTGGGGGAATTCATAACTTTACATATACTGGTGCTACATATATTCCACCATGAAATTATTAACTAGCGAGTCATTAGTTTTCAAATGATACCTCACAAGACATATTTTGTACAGATTATTACAAATGTGTGGAGGGTGTGAATACAGGGGTGCTTTCGGTCACAATCACTTAAGTCTTTATGTGATGAATACTGCAGAAGCTTAAAGACTTTATGTGCTGAAGCCTTAGTTCAGGGCAAAGTCAATGTGCTGAAGTCAAAACTTTGCATGCATAGAGACTTGTCAAATTCTGATTCAGTATCTAGCACACCTTTGTATTCATTTTTAAAATTAATGCTCATGCTGATGATTTAAAAAATAGTAGACTCTTTCTAACCTAATTTTCTCCTGGCTTTGGTCAAAAATTGGAATGCCTAACTATGGAAGGGAAGTTTCCCGTGGGCACTGGGATTGAGTCAGGCATTGGTGTTATAAATTTAAAAGACATATAATTAATATAATCAAATAGAAAATATATATACTAGAACTACAGGGTTGAAAAGTTTCACAGACAGTATCAAATTCTTTGTCCTTACCAACAAGACCAGAGCGTTCCTACTTACTGGCGGCTTTGTGCCCAGTAGCATATAAAAGAACAGATGAAATAGTTTGTCTGTCTTAGTTACAGTTGTTGAAGGGTGGGGTCATATACCATGAATCATGTGAGAAAGGCAACTCCTGGTTTTTGACCTATGAGAAGGAAATAATGGTTAAGACATGATCAAAGAATACCTTCTGCTGTCAGCTATGAGATGAGTTCTGCAAACATATTACAGCATAGTTAAGTCATGAACCCTGCAAACAAAGCAGCGTGCAGTAGATGTGAGGGTTGAGATGAAGTGCTTTTAACACTGTGATATCTCTTCCCCAGCCTCAAACATTGTAGATACTCATTTTTCAGTTGTCCAGGTTTTTGCACACTTAAACATGGGTGTGGATATTTGCTATTCACAAAACAATTGTTTGTGCTAGACATATAAGAACTGTTAGCACACACCCCCAACTTAGGAGCACAACTTTAGAAATAATAATCTGGAACTAACTTAAGACCTCTTAGGGTAACTGGCCCTCAGTATTTATCTGATAAACTTTACAGCTATGTGGGAGCTCTAAAAGATATTTCAAACTGTATTTACATGCCCTACTAACCTTTCAGTGGGACTTCTCACATAAGCTAAGTAATTGATAAACTAAACTGTAATAAATCACCAGGACCAGTTGGGATTCACCCAAGAGTTCTGAAAGAACTCAAATATGAAATTGCAGAACGATCAAGTGTGGTATGTAACCTATCACTTAAATCAACTTCTGTACCAGATGACTGAAAGATAGCTAATGTGACACCAATGTTTTTAAAAAGGCTTCAGAGGTGATCCTGGCAATTACAGGCCATCATAACCATACAACTAAGGGTAGCCTAGAATTCCTCCTTACCTGTAAGGGGTTAAGAAGCTCAAATAACCTGGTTGGCACCTGACCAAAAGGACCAATGGGGAAAGAAGATACTTTCAAATCTAGGGGGGGGAGGCTTTGTTTTTGTGTGTTCTCTTGGGAAGCAGAGAAGTATCAGGTCAGAAAACTCCTTAACCTATAAACCATCCTAAAAGTCTCTCATGTTACAAAAATTGTAAGTAAAAGCCAGGCAAGGCGTGTTAGATTATCTTTTGTTCTGCTTGTGAATTTTTCCTTTGCTGGAGGGAGGTTTATTCCTGTTTTCTGTACCTTTGAAACTAAGCCTTGAGGAAGTTCTGCTGTGTTTTTGAATCTTTTGTTACCCTGTAAAGTTATGCTCAGTGAGCGGCAGCAGTCAAAAAAGCTAACAGAATGTTAGGAACCATTAGGAAAAGGATAGATAATAAGACAGTAAATACCTTAATCATCATCATGTTCTCATTATGCCTCTGGCAATTAGGGCAGTGACGAAACTCCTCCACTCCTGTCTGTTTCTGGCAAGTCTTTCAATGGTTCCCCAGCTGTTCCCCAGGTTTTTCAGTTTGGCTCCCACAGCTCTTCACCATGTTATTTTTGGGCAGCCTCGTTTTCGCTTGCATTCAGGTGTCCATCTTATTGCTACTCTGGTGGATAGAATCAGTTTCCATCTGAAGCACCTGGGCAATCCATCTCCAATGCCTCCTGGCAACGATGGTGCTCATATCCTCTTGGCTGCACTGTCAATAGATCTTGGTTTGAGATTGTTCTGGGCCAAAAGATACAGAGGATACCATAATGCCACTATCTAAATCAATGGTGTGCCCACATCTTGAATACTGCTTGCAGTTTTGGTCACCCCATATCAAAAAAGGGTACATTAGAATTGGGAAAAGGTTCAGAAAAGGACAACAAAAATGATTAGGGATATGGAACAGCATCCATGTGAGGAGAGATTAAAAAGACTGGAACTATGCTGCTTAGAAAAGAGATGACTAAGGAGGGATATGATAAAGGTCTATAAAATCATGAATGGTGTGGAGAAAGTGAATAAGGAAGTGTTATTTACCCCTTCATGTAACCCAAGAACCAGGGTTACCTAATTAAATTAATAGGTAGCAGGTTTAAAACAAACAAAAGGAAGTACTTCACAGAACGCACAGTCAACCTGTGGAACCCATTGCCAGGGGATGTTGTGAAGGCCGAAATTATAACTGGGTTAAAAAAAGAATTAGATGAGGATAGGTCCACCAATGAGTACTAGCCAAGATGGTCAAGGACACAACCCCATGCTCTGGGTGTCCCTAAACCTCTGACTGCCAGAAACTGGGACTGGACAATAAGGGATGGATCACTCGATAATTGCCTTGTTCTGTTCACTCCCTCTGAAGCACCTGGCATTGGCCACTGTCGGAAGACAGGATACTGGGCTAGATGGACCTTTGATCTGACCCAGTACGGCTGTTCTTATGTAAGCATGTACTGTACTTAGGTGATTTGCTGGATCAGGGCAGAGCCAGCGCTAGGTGTAAACAGACTAAGCACTTGCTTAGGGTCATTGAGCAGCTTTTTATTATTACTAATTATTATTATTATTAATATTTGTTACTGGAGGGAGTCAAAAATATTCCTGCTTATTCCCCACAATGGGCTAGCACAGCCTGTGGATGAGGACCAGAGAGCTGAGCACCAGGTAGAATTGAGACCTAAATTATTGTGGTTTTCTTATATATTCTTGTCTAATCACGAATGCTACTGTTTGCTCCCTAATTTCTGTCACTGAGCTCAAATGACTGTCATCAGGAGCAGAGCAATTAAAGGAGTGGTGCTCAAACAGGCTTCCTCCTTTTCCTGTAGAAGTGCCAGGAGAAGTATCCTATGCACTCAGACTCAGGAATGCAGTACAATCTGTTGGACCTGTTAGTGAGACTTTATTATTTTTTAAATTAAAACACAAAAGACACTTGTTAAACTCATATTAAACCAGTTCCTCAACCTTCCATCCTCCTCTGCATGTCACCCATATACTCATTTCTCTGTTGCATTTAGCCTTGTACAATTGTTTTAGACACACAAGGTTTGACTTGCCTCTCACTAGTTTCACACTGGGATAAGTGAGATCAGAATCAGGCCCTCAGACTGTTTCTCACAGTACTTTTATCTTTGTATCCGTCTTTCTGAAAGCATGGTTAAAGTACAGTCAAAATTCTCTTAGAAATGTAAAAAGTTTCAAAGATAAATGTATTAAGTTTTACATTAAATCAATGCAATTATATAAGACAATCACAATCATTTCAGTATATAAAATATATACTTATATTTCTCTTAAGTATTAATACACTTTAAATATATTCAATATTTTGAATTGTATTATAAAATAATTTCTACATATCTAACAAAATAAACCTAGCAGTAAACTTACTATATTTAATATTATATATATATATTAATGAGAATTTAGTGTGCAATCTCATGTTAATGTAAATATTTTTCTTCCTAATTGAAAACTGAATAGCAATATAACAGAACAAAGCTAACTTAAACAATTGGAATAGGGTTCTCCTACTTCCTTCTACATTACTAATTACATCTGACTTGCTACAACCTTTGAGGAATATTGTAATATATGTCAGTTATTCTGATTGCTTCTTCAGAATAGAAAGAGTTGGGCTCCTGGTGGACTGTTCCCCAACATTCAGTGAGAGCCTGGTCTACAGCACAAAGTTTAATCACAGGGGGAGTAGAGAGACTCTGGTACTGCTCCATGGCCTAGAGCTCCCGAAGCACACATCTGTTTTACGCAAGCTGTGTACAAGCTGCTTACACATATGCTTGCCAATTAATCTTGAGTCTTTAATCTCCCTTTATTTTGGAAGGCAATAATTAAAGTGATGGATTTTCAGTTCAAGGTGACACCTCAGTATCTCCACATGATCCAGACTAAGTTAAATTCTTATTCTGGAGCTACGTTCATGCATTCAGAGTCACAAATAATAATGTTCTGACATGGGATCAGGGTCAGATGGTCATGCTGGATTTTTGATTGACCACAAATTGTTCCTCCAGTGTCTAAGAGAAGTTGCTGGTGTGTTATAGCTTGCCCAGCCTTCTGCATAAGTGTTTGCAGAAGTTGGGCATTTAGAATTTACCTTCTTGAAATGAAATTTTGAAAATTCTTTCAGATCTAATAATCTAAGTTGTGGCAGCAAAGGTTCAAAATGTATTAATATATAAACTTGAAACCTAATAGTTACTCTTTAATAATCAAAAAGGAAGGTTTTGTTGTTGGCAGACCCATTAAAACTGATACTGACCAGAAAACATTTAGTTAGTTAGTTAGTTAGTTAGATGGATAGAACCTTTTCGCATTCACTGGTGTGGAAATTTAAAAGTTAAATGACTGATGATTTTGAGTTACAGGAACGTAAAATCTGGAACAAGTAGTGGGCTAAATTCAACAAGGCATGGAGTTTTTGAACAACAATTAGAGGGCATGATCCCAAGAAGGAAGTTGTGAATGGCTCAAGCACCTCTTCAGAAGCAGGCCTCAAGTGTGGATACTTACTGAAACTGATATGATGAAAAACTTCAGCTAGAAATCTCATAAGAAGAAGTTTGCTTTTGATATTTCCACTTGCAGCTTAATCCAGGAAGAGCACAAGAGACATATACCTTAAATGGCAAAGAGTCCTGTGGCACGTTATAGATTAACAGACATATTGGAGCATATGCTTTTGTGGGTGAATACCCACTTCGTTGGATGCAAGTAGTGGAAAGGCACTTCCACTACTGTAGAGGCAGGTATAAATATGCAAGCAAGAATCATGCTAGGGATAACGAGGTTAGTTCAATCAGGGAGGATGAGGCTCTCTTCTAGCAGTTGAGGTGTGAACACCAAGGGAGGAGAAACAGCTTTTTAGCTGGATAGCCATTCACAGTTTTTGTTTAATCCTGAGCTGATGGTGTCAAATTTGCAAATGAACTGAAGCTCAGCAGTTTCTCTTTGAACTGTGGTGCTGAAGTTTTTTTGCTGCAGGATGGCTACCTTTAAATCTGCTATTGTGTGTCCACGGAGGTTGAAGTGTTCTCCTATAGGTTTTTGTATATTGCCATTCCTAATATCTGATTTGTGTCCATTTATCCTTTTACATAGGGACTGTCCAGTCTGACCGATGTACATAGCAGAGGATCATTGGCTGGCGTATATTATATTGGTGGACGTGCAGGTGAATGAATCAGTGATGGTGTGGCTGATCTGGTTAGGTCCTGTGATGGGGTTGCTGGTGTAGATATGTGGGCAGAGTTGGCATCGAGGTTTGTTGCATGGACTGGCCACAGGACTCTGTCACTTTTACAGATCCAGACTAACAGGGCTACCCTTCTGATACTTGATACCTTAAATGGTAACTTTTTCCCCTGTGTTTTTCTCAAAGCCTCAAAAAAAGTTCCAGTTTGGTTTGAGTTTTGGGCAAAGATCCAGGTTTGCTCAGATTTTCAGTTAATTTGCTCCCTAAAACTGACAGGAGAAATAAATGTTGGATGGCTAATTTTTTCAGGCAATTGGTTTTGTTACAAGGAGCCAAACAGTGATTACAGGAGATATGCCTAAACCAAAACTATGGATCTGATCCAAACCCCACTGAATCTTGCAAAGTATTCTGCTCTGACTTTAGAGACTAACCAATTTATTTGAGCATGAGCTTTCGTGAGCTACAGCTCACTTCATCAGATGTAGTGAGCTGTAGCTCACGAAAGCTCATGCTCAAATAAATTGGTTAGTCTCTAAGGTGCCACAAGTACTCCTTTTCTTTTTGCGAATACAGACTAACACGGCTGTTCCTCTGAAACCTGCTCTGACTTTGAATTTTATGGCTCTCCCCACTGTAGTTTCTTATTACAGAAAGGAAAACAAATCTCAGCTCAGCTGTGAAGCCTAAAAGACACAAGAGGGCCACGCCCAGGCCTCATTCTGCAAGTAAGCCTGCAAGGTATGTCCTGGCAAGCAGCAAAACCACCACCAAACATCTTCCAGTCAGCCCTCCCCTCCTTCTCAGCAAACACTGAGCCCAGCGGGGATGAGCAGGGCAGAGGAGTGGTGCCGTTAGAGCAGCTGGTCCAGTAGTCGAGGCTGCAGGAAGAGGAGGGACTTGCGGGGTTGCAGCCTAGAGTTGGCTCTGGCTGCATCAGAAAAGCTGCTTCGCAGTTACATGTAACCTGCCCCCCACTCCCTGCCCGTTACATCGCCCCGTAAACGCCGCGCGGAGAGGCGCCGAGCGAGGAACCGTCGCGCCATGTCTCAGCCACACAAAGGGAAGAAGTCGTCCTCCTCCAAGCCTGCGGGGGCTGCAGGCAGGGGGAGCAGAGCGGTACGTGTCGGAACCAGGGCGCGGGGCTAGGGCGGCGCCCAAAGCTCCGCGGCGCCAGGGCTCCGGGCGGCCAGCTGGGCTTCCTGCCTCTGTCAGGGCAGAGGAATGCGCCAGCACCGCCCGCAAGAGGGGAGCGGCCCCAGCGCGGGGCTAGCGGAGCGGGACTGTCCGGCTCAGCCCCGCCGCGGCCCAGAGGCGGCGGCGGGGGGAAAGGCCCAGCGCAGCCCCGCTCCGGGCCATCGGGGGGCGGAGGGGAACAGCCCAGCCCAGCGCAGCCCTTTCCCGCGGCCTGATACAGGGCAGAGCCGGTGCAATGGGGGTCGCGTTGCGATCTGCCCCGCAGTCCCTAAGCCCTGGGGACTGGGAGGGGCGCAGCCGAGGCCGCGCCAACAGCCCTTCCCGCCTCCGCCCGCTCCTGCCCTGCAGCGGTGGCACACCCAGCCTGGAGCGCCAGCTCCGCCTCGCTGCCAAAGCGCCGCCCGCCCCAGAGGCAGGGGCAGGGTCCGCCCCAGCCTGGCTCTACCGCCCTGAGCCTGGGCGCTTAGAAACGCTCAGCGGTGCTTGGAGGGGGAGGATTATTTTAAAGGAGGAACACGTTCCGGCCATGGCTTTTGCAAGCTGGTGGTATGCGACGGTAAATATAGCCAGCTCCGCTACTGACAGAGTGGATTTTAATCCCTTGGGTTGGGTGTGTGGCTCTTGCCAGCGACTATATCAATAAGGGAGTAGAGAATGGGAGAGCATTAGTGCTAAAGGGTAGACACTTAAAGATAGAGCCAGATGCATCCCCTGTGGAACTCTGATGCATTCAGTAAAATTACAGGGGCCTGAATTTGCCCCACCTTCCATTTGGGGAAACTCACCCTGCTCTGGTATGTGTGCCCTACAGTCTAGCTCACTTTTGTAACTTGGATATGTTGTATTCCACGTTTTAAAAGGTAGCTACTTGTTTAAAGTATTTGGGACCGCAGGAGAAGGAATGAGGAAGCAACTGTCAGCTATATCAAGATAAAACTATGGCGTTACTGTGAATTCATAGACACTGGGGAATTGGTTATGTTGTTCAGGAGACTATTTAGTAAATAATGAATGGATCAAGTAACTAAAGTGCTTACTATGTTCAACTTAAATTAGTAAACAGTAATACTTTTGTATAAAGATGCGATTTGATACTTTGAAATTTTTAAGTTGATGTTATTTTACTATGAAATATTGTCCAGTCATATTTTCTCTAAATAATCCATTAAAATACATGTGTTGCAGTTTCAGAGGGACTTCCATAAACTCTTTAGTGAAGATGATACATTAAAAATTAGCTTTGTGGATGTTGTTGCTTATTTTCACAACCTGGAAAAAATACAGGCCCTTTTACATATGATAATTCATTTATCCTTTAACCAAAACAGGGATGTGATCTGAAAGGAAATCTAATAAGTGATGGATTGATTATTTTTTTTAAAGGCTAAGTTTATTTTGGACTCTTTCTTTCCCACTCTGAACAGAGTCCTAGTTGGTACAAGTTTTCATAAAATTGTTCTTAGCTGCAGGTATTTTTTTGAACTAACTTGTTTTGTTATACCAATAAAATAAAAACCAGCAGGAACTTATTAAAGGGAAAGGTTTCAGAGTAACAGCCATGTTAGTCTGTATTCGCAAAAAGAAAAGGAGTACTTGTGGCACCTTAGAGACTAACCAATTTATTTGAGCATGAGCTTTCGTGAGCTACAGCTCACTTCATCGGATGTATACTGTGGAAACTGCAGAAGACATTATATACACAGAGACCATGAAACAATACCTCCTCCCACCCCACTCTCCTGCTGGTAATAGCTTATCTAAAGTGATCATCAAGTTGGGCCATTTCCAGCACAAATCCAGGTTTTCTCACCCTCCGCACAAACTCCCTCTCTTGCTGGCAATAGCTCATCCAAACTAACCACTCTCCTTACAATATGCATGATAATCAAGGTGGGCCATTTCCAGCATAAATCCAAGTTTAACCAGAACGTCGGGGGGATAGAAAAAAACAAGGGGAAATAGGCTACCTTGCATAATGACTTAGCCACTCCCAGTCTCTATTTAAGCCTAAATTAATAGTATCCAATTTGCAAATGAATTCCAATTCAGCAGTTTCTCTCTGGAGTCTGGATTTGAAGTTTTTTTGTTTTAAGATAGCGACCTTCATGTCTGTGATTGCGTGACCAGAGAGATTGAAGTGTTCTCCGACTGGTTTATGAATGTTATAATTCTTGACATCTGATTTGTGTCCATTTATTCTTTTACGTAGAGACTGTCCAGTTTGACCAATGTAAATGGCAGAGGGGCATTGCTGGCACATGATGGCATATATCACATTGGTGGATGTGCAGGTGAACAAGCCTCTGATAGCGTGGCTGATGTTATTAGGCCCTTTGATGGTGTCCCCTGAATAGATATGTGGGCACAGTTGGCGATACAACCGCATTTGCTCCAACCCCTCAGACAGAGACAAACACCTACAAGATCTCTATCAAGCATTCTTACAACTACAATACCCACCTGCGGAAGTGAAGAAACAGATTGATAGAGCCAGAAGAGTTCCCAGAAGTCACCTACTACAGGACAGGCCTAACGAAGAAAATAACAGAACGCCACTAGCCGTCACCTTCAGCCCCCAACTAAAACCCCTCCAACGCATTATTAAGGATCTACAACCTATCCTGAAGGATGACCCAACACTCTCACAAATCTTGGGAGGCAGGCCAGTCCTTGCCTACAGACAGCCCCCCAACCTGAAGCAAATACTCGCCAACAACCACATACCACACAACAGAATCACTAACCTAGGAACCTATCCTTGCAACAAAGCCCATTGCCAACTGTGCCCACATATCTATTCAGGGGACACCATCAAAGGGCCTAATAACATCAGCCACGCTATCAGAGGCTTGTTCACCTGCACATCCACCAATGTGATATATGCCATCATGTGCCAGCAATGCCCCTCTGCCATTTACATTGGTCAAACTGGACAGTCTCTACGTAAAAGAATAAATGGACACAAATCAGATGTCAAGAATTATAACATTCATAAACCAGTCGGAGAACACTTCAATCTCTCTGGTCATGCAATCACAGACATGAAGGTCGCTATCTTACAACAAAAAAACTTCAAATCCAGACTCCAGCGAGAAACTGCTGAATTGGAATTAATTTGCAAATTGGATACTATTAATTTAGGCTTAAATAGAGACTGGGAGTGGCTAAGTCATTATGCAAGGTAGCCTATTTCCCCTTGTTTTTTTCTACCCCCCCACCTCCCCCCGACGTTCTGGTTAAA